TACCAGAGGATTTGCTCTGGAGCTTGATTTTGTTGCTCTTGAACTTTATAAACATTGTGTTCTCATACTCAGTCACCAATGACAGAGTATTTAAAGCCCATTATTATGCAACACGACCGAAGCCTCAAAGAACTCTACCCATCAAAAAACTTTATCTGAAACATCATTTCATCGTCCACTAATCTAGGTGAATTCTAAAAATTGGACCACTCATTCATATTTGGATAATGAGATTTATAGCAAAACATCAATTTTTCAGAGACTGTGTGAAGAATTTCAAGAGCTTGACAGTAACAGAAAGAGTTTGCAGTTGCGTATCACTGGGAAAGCTCGTCTTCAAAAGCTAGTGAATCTACTGTCAAAATGTGTTTACTTGAAATACTAGAATATACAGAAGACACAGCTGGATGTCAGCCTTACACGCTGGGTAACGAGCTTTGAATGTCATCTTGGCCTCTTTGAACAGGCAATCATAAAAGCATACAGCTTTTTAGCAAAATAACCTTTTGCACAATGATAATGAAAAAAAATTTATGTATTGGTTGAGCATCATATTTGTTTCCATAATGTTTTCTATGCTTTTTCAAAATTAGTGAAAACATCACCATAAGGATAGTAGTTATAGAAGGGGAGAAATTAAGACTTTTCCATTTCTTTTGCCCTATGGTTGCAACTTGTCTGTCAGAGGGTTGTGTTATTTAATTTGTCAACATTGCTAATGGAATCTGATACAATTTGCTTTCATACACAATTTTATGGACTTAAAGTGCAGGTCAACATTCTGCCTTATATTAACAAAGTCCTTCACCGCAGGGTTCTTTTGTATATAATGATGTTAAACTCCTCTGGAATGAACAAAGTTGTTATAATGTTTGCATTTAAAGCATATGCTATATACAATATATGTATACGTCATTAAAAGTTAAGACACTTGAAATGATAAACAGGGATGGTTTTTGTAGAAACGTAAACCTAAAATATTTTTGGTATTTGAAATATAAACTTAAGTTAAACATTTTTTCAAACACTTAAAGGCTACACTATTAAAGAGCATGCATCAAAGCCATTCAATGTAAGAGAGCCAACATCAGATTGTCTGTAAATGACTGTAAATCAACAAGAAGAAGTGAGTGAAGGCAGAGGGAAGTATTTCTTGAGTAAGCTGGTAAATATGTTTGGTTTTGTACAAAAACTCAGGAAACTAGTGTAAAATAAACCTGAGAGATTCAAAATTCTGTCAGAGACTCACTTATAGTCCATGTCAACCTTCCTTAAATAAACGTTGTATACAGAATTACCTGAGTGCATATTTAACAAAAAGGTCGTGTTCAATGCTGTCCCTGTTGTCCCTCGCAAAAAAAATGTTCTTGTAAATTAAAAACTTTTTTCTGAATTGATTTTTTTTTTCTGAAATATGTAATTATGTCTGAATTTATGCATTTTTTGTTGCACCACAGTAGTGCAATATTTGTGAAAGGAGTGTGATATTCAGCTTTTCATATGAAATATAAATGCTCCTTTTATTTAGGATTCATTTCCACTTGCAGTAGCACTCTCTCTGTGGCTATCCATGCAGACAGGAATCAGAAATACTGTGTTTTTTCCAGCCAACTGAAGATTAAGTTTGTACCACTTGGACATTCTAGCGTTTGTAGGAAATTGTTTTTCTTCCCTTTTTCGTACAGGGGTTTTGACATCATTAATAAATCTGTAGACTGGCGGGCAGCCTAGATTACAAATTTCCTCAAAAGTTGATCTGATAATGACGTTGGAAGGGTTTCTGGTAGTGGACCAACAAGGATTAAAATCAGCATTATAGGTTCAGTGCAACACAGTGCTGTGAAAAGTATTTGACCCCTTACTACTTTTTTATGTTACACAGAGAAAAATACAAAATGTAGCTTTTATATTATTATTATTTATTAAGAGGAAAAAGTGTCTATACACACACATACACACACACACACACACACACACACTAATTGCTGCCATATAAGCAGTACAAGTGTGTTACCTCTTCTATTCCTTCAGTTGTTGTTTTGGAGTTAAGTGTAGTGAATGTAGCCTGTGTGCGACTCTCAAACTATAAATACCTATAAATTCTTTGGAGTATACATACACAGCAAATCCAGCATGTCCAAATTAACACTGTCGGATTTGATTTCAACACTATTGTGTCTATATGGGTCCACACCAGAGAGTGTTAATTTAACTCTTTTTGGAGAGTTGGTACGTTAACTCTGATTTAGTGTTAAACACCAAATCTGTCTGGAGTTGATAATTTAACACTTGGTGTTAAGAGTTTATATATTAACTCTCAGTCTGTTTGACCTGCTCCCCTCAGGCAGGAGGCTCCGGTCCATTCGCACCAGAACCTCTCGCCATAAGAACAGTTTCTTCCCCTCTGCTGTTGGACACATGAACAATAACCATATGACTGTACCCGCCACTAACACATGACCCTACGCTGTGTCACTGCATCATTCTATGTTTGGCACTGATCACCACCTGCACTCATGTATATATCTTTCAACGTAGCACTCTTAATTCTTATTCTCATGTATATATCTCATGTATATCTCATGCACATATCTTTCCACGTAGCACTTTTAATTCTTATCCCTACTTTTATTTTTTTCCATGTCTATTTAGGTGCTATTTATGACACTATGTTTACACTGAAGCACCGCAGCAATTTCCTAATGTTGTAAACCTGCTCAACATTTGGCAATAAACCCCATTCTGATTCTGATTCTGATTCTGATTTAGTTTAACTACGTAAGAGTTATCTTCTAATTCATTCTAAAAAGCGGGAATTTTACTGTTCTGAACTTCTAGAAATTTCTTTTGGAAATAAACATTTACTAAAAAGACGCAATGGTTCTTGAAAAACATTTATTCTGAACTGTGCACCACAATTTCAAAACATTTTCTGAAAGATGTAACAGTGTACATGTTCTCACTTTCATTAGAATTGTGTCTGACAAAAGGTCTAACATAGGTGAGGTGGTAAATGCAAATAACAGCATTCTCATCACTTATTTCTTCAATACAATATGCATGTCCTTCATTCATCCCTTTGTGGAACTTCAACGCACTTCTGCTCTCCCCCATATTCCATCTTCACAAGCATATCCTGTGTGGAAATCGAATAAAAATTAGTTGACACTAATTAATGGCACAAATCAATTGCAGCACAGTGAAAAAAAAAGGAATCCTTTTTGAGCCATTATTTATGTAAAGTATTTTCCCAAAAGACAAGGACACAGGCAACAGGTAATACTGAACTAAATGTAAAACCTCAACCTTTTTCATTTTTACCTAAACCGTGTGCACAAAACTCTGGAGGGATCTAAATGCTAACGTAGAACCCAGTCAGGACGTCAGCTACTGCTGTTTGCTCGTTTTTGGTTTTTTTTATGGGCGATCGTTTTCAGGCTTCAAGTAGCACCATTATACCAACATTTCACATTCTAGACATTGTTTTAGGTGTATTTGACCAAAAGCTTGACTGAAAATTCACATGCAAGCTTTTTTCAAGGCTGTGGTATTTGCCCGCAAACAATACCTTTCAGCTAGCTAAAACAGAATATTATGCTATCACCGAGCAACATGGCTAATGCCTTTCACACAGCTTTGTCTCAACTCCAAAGAGCCACAGAAGTAAAAGCTAATAATAATTGAAACAATCTTTGAAAAAATGACTTACCAAGCATGGCAAACAACTCAAATATGTAGAGCAAAATGTTCTGAAACGGCTTCACTTCAGCTTCGATTGGAGCCTATGGTGCTGGGGGCGGAGTCTGTGAATTTACTCTATTGGTGTCATAGCCCCTGTAGGAGTTCAGAGTTAAGAGGTCAAGAGTTAATGTTCCCATTGTAACACCTCCAGATTTGACATAGAAACACTCATTTTTAACCCCGACTGCCATCCCCGACTGCCTTCCTCTTCTCTTCCCACTATACCACACACACCCACACAGGGGAGCCCCCCCCTCCCCATTGTTTTCCTATCCCCTAGCCATGTCTGTCCCGTCTGTAACAACTGAAAATAAAATAAAATAAAATGAATAATAACAACAAAGGTCAATCAAGGCAAGGCCCTGGTGGTCCACTTGATAAAGTAAATCCGTTTGGTATCTTTGTTGGCCTTAAGACATCAATTCTGAAGGCTAAAGAACCAAACGGGTCAGGCAAAAAATAAATAATGAAGACCGCAACATTACTAGTCTATCTTTATGTCAATATTGCATTTTGAATGTCAGTTATTAAAGTTAGTATTTTGAAACTGCCATGTTTTTTTTAATTGATTTTATTGTTTTTCGGCAGTACAAGTACCACATGTAGTTGAGATTTTTTTTTTTCCAGTTTTGGATGAGTCTCGACACCATGTGGTGCTCCGGAGGCTGTTCAAATGCACTAACTTTGCTGTACAAGTCACACTGCACCTGTGTATCTTTTTTATGCAAAGCATTAAAAGTAATATATTTATGTTTAGACTTAAACACTGGACATATAACTATTTCCTTATACTTCTCCCTTGTGTTTTCTTCCAGTGAGTTATATGACTTCTACCACTATTTCTACATGCTGACCAATGTCCTGTTCTACGTCAGCTCGGCCATAAACCCTGTCTTGTACAACCTGGTATCAGCCACCTACCGTCAGATCTTCTTCTCCACGTTGCGGTACTTCTGCATGCCCTGCCGTCACACAAACAGGAATCAACCATACCCCCTCAACCGCCACTCCATTAGCATCTCCAGTAGCCACACCCTTTCCACTAACATCATTAAAGAGACGGCATACTGATTAAGCTGCAGATAAACACACCTTCTTTCACTTTGTCATAAATTCATACATTGCCACATCTTGATTACATTTTCCCAGAGGAAATTATGGCATTGAGTTGGAGAATGTGGTCACCATCATCGTCATGTGAGGTTAAATTCTCACTCATTAAATGCTCTGATTTAATTTCAGACACATTTTCTCATGGATTATTGTGTTTCATACCTTTAACATGCGATTGTTAAATCAAAAAAGAAAATACGATGGATGGAAGAATAGGGGGGGAGGCAAGACTTTACAAAAGATACTGATGTAAATTATTTATACTGTATGTTTGTACATATATGTTTTTATTTCACCAATCACTGAAATGAATTTAATGGGTGGTGTACCTCACTGATTCAGTTTTTCTAAACATTTAGCTTATGTAACTCCTAAAAGTATTTTCTCAAAAACAACGCCTTGTAGAAATACTTTGACCACAACAACAGCTATGATGTAACCTTCTTTTCGGATGGATTCATCTGAGGAGAAACCTAGCTTTGATGTTAGAAACAGTGCAAGGATCATGTATTTCTCTAAAATCTAAGTTGTATTGACAGCTGTATAGGAAGAATCTCTTGCATCATTAAAATTTACTTCTCTTGTGTGATTTGGCTTTTGCAGAACAAGCTTTTCAGTTAAATTCTTGGTGAAAATGAGGCAAGTCTACATAATAGAGAGTCCTCATTGCTTCAACGCTGATATTCATTTAGCAATTTTACATACTAATCAATACTATTGGCAGTTTTTAGAAACTGTGAAATTACTGTGACCAGAACAGAAGTGGCTGTAATTGATTATTTAAAGTATTTCAAGAACCAGTAGAGGCCATTTGGAGGAAATTGCAATGGATGCATGGATGCAAATATCCTCACATGGAGAAAAGAGTAGTAACCGATACAGTGCTGCAGAAGCTGACAGATATGTGGGAAGCAAAGATTTTCTTCAGGACCAACACAACGATGTAGAAACAATCTGAATGGTTAAAACACACAAGCTGCTAGAAAGGATTAACAACATGATATTGGGAAATACAAACATTGTGATTTAACTTGGGGTTATTGTGTCAGATAACTAAACACCCTACCCTTTTTCGCTTCATAAGAGACAGTCTGATCACACCTATCTTCTGGGTAGGAATAACATCGACATCTGGTTGTCTGTGATTCTTTAGCCATCATCTGGTCACCAGTTTTAATCAGGGAGTAGTTTATGTTCAGAGTTTTGATTCAATTTTCATTCTTTTCCTGGTGATATGCAGACTCATTGCTGATATGGAATAAGTGTTATACTTGCAACCTGCTGAATGAGAATTTTATCAACACAAAAAAGGGACACAAAAAGGGGGGGCGGGGGGGGGGGAATCTGTTTATAGGCTACTCATCAGTGAGGAGGTGAACAGTAAAATAAAAACCATAAAAAAAAAGCCCAGTAAAAAAAAACCCAGTAACATAAAAAAAAAACCCAGTAACATTAAAACACTTTGATCCCCCCATGAATAAAACCTAATGTGATTTCCTGATCTTTATATTTCAGGCCATGGGGCAGTACTCAGGTAACACACTAATGTTTGAATACATCAAGGTCAAAGTTTTAGCTCTAATTTGAAGCTGTGATGCTGAAGAAATAAATGGCAGAGAGCACTCTGCATAATACCGTGCACAGATCCCGAAGCACAAAGACTGGTTTAATAAGGAAAGCTGATAACCAGTGTTGTAATAACGCATTATGCATCTCTAACTGGAGTTTTAGGTTTTGTCAAGCCAGCTTATACTGAAAAAGCCCTGCTATGTTAAACTTGTTTGTTGTATGTTGTAAAGTCAGAGAAACACTTTAATCACCCGCTCTTAGTTAATACGTTGTGCATGTAGTGCAAGTGATTTACAACTTATAGCACTAATTTATACAACACCACCTATTCTGATTTAATATATACGGTGGTGTCAGTGAATTAGCAGCAGTAAACCATGTGATGCACAAGATGTTATTTTCAGCAGCTACCAAGAGAGCCCATGCTTTTAATTCATTTATAACAGAACCTTCTATGCACTGATGTAACCTACCTGGAGATATGAATGATATTCATAATAGAAAAAAGCAGTAATGGTAAAGTGTGAAGATCACAGAAGTAGAATCACTCATTGCAAAAGTCTTACTTTTGAGTTTTACTTTTGCAGCCTGCTTTTATGTTTGCCAGCATACACATCAAAGGATCCTGTAGCATACAAGCACTGGCTAAATAGAAAGTGCAGCTGTGGCTGATGGGTGTGTCATGGGTTTTCCAAATGTTTAGGTATAAATCAAAGCACTGAACAAACTAATACCTTGACCTTATGATGGAAAAATAAAGTGATAACCCCCAGATGATTGCAGTTTTTCCCAGAGGGAAAAAATAAACAAAAACAGCTCACATCACCGCCCCTCCAAAAATACAAAAAAACAAATCAAGGCTACACTTTGGGGTCGAAATATGCAAAATATGCACAGAATATTCTGGGATATCAATTTCATAGTTGTTAATCCTTTTTTTCTCCACATAACAACAACTTTGTGAACTGCATGGTGTTGTTTCATAAATAGAAAAAGGTTGTCAGTGTTTTCAAAAAGGTTTAACCTCTGTGTCTTGTTTGTTCCTTTTAAAAAACTGACCCTTTTTTATTATTATTGGTGACAGTTACATGCTGTTTGTTGCAATACGACTTGAAATGTGTTCCTATGTGTTTGTGTTTGTATATTCTTTTGCATGTGCCTCATTGGAACTTCAGCCAGACAATAGATTTCTTAAAACAGAAATTGACCCAAAATCAATTGACCCTAAATCAAAAATACACAAAAAATTTACAAATTAATACAATGCACATGTACTTGTTGTTTTGTAAACTATACGGTAAGAACCTTTACATAGATGTTTTCTAATTGTTATTTTTCCTAGTCCAGAAATAATTGTAATACCTCTGCTACAGCAAATTAAGTGGAACACTGCGTGAAATGCCCATCCAACAAGTGGTTGGCAGCCAGTGTCTATTAGAGACGTACATATTTGAGCTATGTAGATCTTATATCCAGTGGAAGTTGTGGCGCTCACTTCCATTAGACCAAAGATCAGTGGACACTGTTGATACCCTTAAAAAGAAACTTAAGCCTGTTCAGGCTTTTTGCTTTCATTTAGTTTGATCTATTTATACAGTTTTAATTGTTGTATCTTATTCTGTATTGTAAAGCACTTTGTGAATTTTGTTCTAAAAAAAAAACACAATATCAATAAACCTTAATTACTTATGTTTTTGTAGAATATTTCTTGTCTTTTGTGAACATTCGAATAAGAGTTGGCAAACACACAGCTTATGAGAATGTGTATATTTAGCAAGTAGCTATAATGAAACCCAATCAGACAATTATCTTGTGACATGGTGAAGGTGAGATTTTTTTTTAGATGATATCAAATGTTAAAACTGTGGCTGCTTTATTTAAAGCAAAAAAACATATGCTCATTTTGAATTTGATTCCAGCTACGTGTATCAGAAAAGACTAAACATGACAATTTTTGTATTGTCCTTTCCTGATGTGCCAACTGCTTCCAGCGGGTGACAGGTGTGGAGAGCAGGCAGGTCAGTTTAGTACCTAGACTCTTTTACTGTGCTTCCATGCTGATGAAATATGCACAGAATATTTTGACATTGTCTTGCTGAATAAAAGAAATGGCCGTTCCTTCTCTCTCTCTCTCTCTCTCTCTCTCTCTCTTAAAGTTTGCCTTTTGTCCTATCTCTTTTTGCTCTCTCCTCTTATCCCCCAGTCATGGTGGACAGATGTGAGCTTGGTTCTGCTGGAGGTTTCTTCTGCCAGAGGGAGTTTCTCCTTCCCACTGTCGTCAAGTGCTTGCTCATAGGGGGTTGTGTGGTTGGGATTTCTTTCTAATATTGTGTGTGTGTGCTTTGGTGTGTGTGTGTGTGTGTGTATGAATACTATATATATATATATACATATATTATATATATATATATATATATATATATATATACATATATATATATATATATATATATATATATACATACATATATATATATATATACATACTATATATATATACATATATATATATATATATATATATATATATATATATATATAATATATATATATATATATATATACATACATATATATACATATACATACATACATACATATATATATATATATATATATATATATACATACATACATACATACATATATATATATATATATAAATGAAAATGAATTGAACTGAATTGGACATTCTTCCGCATGCAACATATATGTGCAAATTACTTATGTGCACTATTATTATTTAAAGTTTAAAGCTAAATGGGCTCCCTATTCATTAGCTGGAAGAGTGCAAGGTGGAGTTTAAAACACTTTTGAGAATTATTATTGGAATTATGAACCAATTCCACAATTTCCTTAATCTTTTAATTAGATAACTTACAGCAAATGAGGGATTAAACCTATTCTCTGTCATTTTACACTGAAAAACAATTACAACTATTTCTGTCACAGAGTAGATCTTCTCATCTTTACATTAGGGGGATTTTTTTTCACACCCAATGTTTTGGCTCTTGCTAATTTAGCTAGTGAGATCCACCACTTATATTTGTAACAGTTAAAATTTCAGTCTTTTATTGCCCAAGTCTCCGTTTAAAAAAAAAACAACAAAAACATGTAGATCCATCAAATTAAAAGTGAGCATATAGTACATAAATAAATAAATATAAATGATAAATATCACTAAGTTTATACATATGATATGTTGTTGTTTTTTTGGTTTTTTTAATGTTGTACATTTTCAACTTGCTGTTAAAATTAACAATGTATTTTGTTTTTTTACTATATGATTCTGTTCTGCAGATGTGTATAACATTTCTCTCAGAATGTGCTTTTGTTTCTATATAAAAAGGAATAATAAAGAATGGAGAGATGCAGATTACAGTTTGTGTCTGTCTTATTCCTGTCAAACTGTCTGGGATTTTCTGGGATAACATGAGGTATTAGCACATGTTTATCTGTGAAGCAGATAATGAAACTCTACAGAAGCCTCTGGTCTGAGCCTCCTGTTTGATTCAGTTTTCAGAACCTCAACACTGCAGCTCCTCCACTATCTAAAGTGAACACCTTTACTAATTTTCCAGAACTGAATAAGATACAGAGTTCAACCATGAAGAAACTTGTAATTACAATACATACTTTTGTAAACTATATCATTTTTAAATTCACCAGTTTTCCTAGTCTGACTTCTTAGTTGACTTCTTCATTTTAATCAGCTTAAAGCTCTTTGGTCGACACTCGTCCTTTGTCTTAAAGTTGGATCCTCATTCGAGTAAAGTACCACACTCTGTTTACCCTTGTTTAAAGTTAAGCTTTTATTTCTCTAATTAATCATTACACATGGTTAGCAGAGGTTCAGCTGTTCTGAACACTCACTACAGAGCACATCCTCTCCATAATGCTGGTCTGACAAGAAACAAGTGAGATTTTACCCTGTTATTGCTGCAGAAATCGACAAGCAACAGATAAAGAAAGTTTCACTTTGCCAGCAGCTGTACAGCCTGGTAATATTCTCCTGAGAATCACCCTGTTTATTTATGTCCTCTGTAATGGACATTTGTGTTTTGCTCTTTTTTCTTTTGAATTATTTGAGCTATCCTAATAAGTCCTGCATACCATTAATACCTCATGCATTTGGGTGGCCTCTTTTAGCTCCAAAGAGGAAGGAAATTACAAAACAAAAAGTTAAACGGGAAGATTTATTTTTCCTCTGCTCTCAGGAGGATATAAAAATATAAGATTGAAGAGTTACATTATTTTTTTCTGACCCACAGATTTTAAATAGAATAAAAAACTATTTCTGTTGAAATAGATGGAAGTTGTACATTTAAATCCTAATTTAGTTGTATGATTTTTAGTTCTAGTTAAGGGAGCTGAATTTGTATTATCTAACAGATAATTTTGCTAACAAATTTCATAGATTCCTTAGAACAAATCTATTTTATCTCTAAATCTCTTTTTTATCTCTAAATTTTATCTCTAACTTCAATTTTATATTTATTGTTGTTAAGAGTTTATCTACAGAGTTTGATGAAAATATTTTCATTATTTCATTTCATTTTATTCACAATTCTTTTTTATATATTTTATATATATTTTACACTTTCAATGTATAAAATATATGTATATGTAGATAAGCAACATATAAAAAATAAATTAAAAATAAACAGAGCAGAAGGTGCTGGTGTGGTTAGCACTGTTGCTTCACAGCAAGAAGTGATTTTGGTTATATTCATAAGATGGAAGACGTCT